CTAATTGGATCAGACGTACGTATGCGTACGTAGCCCTAAATATGGAAAATTCAGTGTCTTAAAAATCAGCATGTGAAAATAGTGGTTTACTTGTTTATTCTTTATCATAATTACGTTCTGGTCTTTTCATAGATAATGAATTTTCAACGGCAGTCTGTAAACATTGTCTTTATATTAATTTTGTAATATTTTTTTTGTGCACCCTACCGATGTGACGCCCATGCTATTTCGGATATATTCGGAAATTTTAGCCTTCACATGCAATCCATAACGGTCTAAGTTTCGATAATAGAGATAATTACTAAAAGTAATTTTTTTTCTAGTATATTTCAAAAACGACTTGAAGTACCTCTTCATAATTTATAGGGATTTAATTCAAATTGGTATATTTTGGTCATAACCATTTTTTTAAAACTTTGCCAGTGGTGTACGAACAAGTAACAGTATGAACTTTTTTAAGAAAAATATCTGAACGCCGCTGATTATTTCAATTATCGATACATTTTCTATATCTCACTGAGAAAAAAAAACTCTGTCTTAAAACTCTAACAATCAATACTTCGTTTATGTAGAAAGATTAATGATTGCCTGGCATGAGTTTATTCTTTATTTTCATATAGTGTATCGCAAAGACCAACTCGTGGTGAGCAGAGTCGCCGACTCTTAATAAAAATGTGTAAATATGTAAATGTGTATATATAAATTTTTTTTTTTTTTTGGTCCGTGTTTTGAAATGTATAAATTTGTTTTGGGTTTTATGAGTTCTTTATAATTTTATTTATCAAATCTTTCGAAAGCTAAACAAAGTCATATGTTAATGTCTCCCACTTTAATCACATTGAGAGAACTGTTGAACTATCCACAAAACAAAAACAAGAGGCACCTCAGATAGCGATAACGTGTAATCCCTGTCAATAAATATTATTTTGCTTACTCTTCTAATTAACAAAATATTTAAAAGATCCATTATTAGAAAATTTTAACTAGGTACTATTTAACTTTGTTTTGTTCTTCGGTGCTTTTAACTTTGTTTTAGTTAAATAATTATCAATTAAATACAGTTTATTTTTCAAGATATTTCGCACATGAAAATTAACCATTAGGACTTTACTGTGTTACTGTCTACGTTGAAATTCCCACAAATTATAATTATGTAATAGTTCTATATAAGTAGATTTTAAGTTTGCTACTGGAATAGCCTCATAGTAATTACTGTTTTCTTAATTCTGTTTTTTTAAACATCAACTATTTAAATGATGACAAGACATTTAAAATTTGCGAAACAGATATTGTGACGGGACGTCCGGGGTAAGACGCTATGGAACGCAGAGCCGGATTTAACTGTATTGTTTGCTCCTTTACTTTTTTCAATGTAGGTTTTTGTGCTCAGTTTAGCTAGCAACAATTTAACAATTGTACAAAAAAATATTAACTTGAAATAAATGTATTGAATTTAATGTATTGACTACGCATAAAGCAGTTACAGTATTCAAGTTTGCTTAATATAAATTGTTACTACCCAGCAAAAACCGCGAGGAGGTATGAGCATTTCTTGTCAGGAAACGATGGGTATGGAATATTAGTATAGAATAAAGAGATTATTTAAAATGTAACAAGAAAGCTTTAAAAACAAAATATTTTTCTCAATAAATGAACTAAAAATAAATTCTAATAATAAAGTTTACTATAATAAAAACAGAAAGACATATTTTTCTCAAAATGAAAAAAAATAATAACATTAATAAATAATAACATCCTGAAAAAAGAATGTTTCTTAAGCACTGAACCACGAAAGCTCAAAAACGGAATTAAATAATGCAGTTGATATCACAAAATTCACTTCTTCACTTCACATCACTTCATTTTACCTCACTTCACATTGCCTCTTCCACTGAATCCTCGTCCTTCTCACCCTCTTCTTCATTTTGAGAAGAACAGCTGTGCTCGTTCAAATTTATAATAAATTTATTTCCACTATTTATATGAAATTTGGCAATTTTTAAATAATCATCCTCAATTGTAATTACTTTCCTAATTATTTTTTCCCAATCTTCCTTGCTAATTTTCGACAATTCATTTTGAATTAACGCTACGACTTGTTTTATCGAATTTCTGAAAAATATTTCCTTTTCTGACGTTTTTATTCAATTTACACCAAATTAATTCAATCGAGTTAAAAATACAGAAATATGGCGGTAATCTCAACACTTTGTGGCCATATCTCTCCGCTACATTATCGATAATATACTTAGATAATTTTTCGTATGCAGGACTTCCAACAGTTGTGCTTTATTATAATTTTCCTCATAATAGAGATCACGTTCCATTAAAAAAAATTGTAACTCCAGCTTAGTAGAACTCTTGTTAGGAATTTTATACAGTTGTCTCGGTTTAATTTTAAAATTAGTGTATTTTCAAACCATTGCTCAAATATTTCTTCCTTCATGTTCTTGTGGTAATCCATGTTACAGTCTTCTATGTTTTTCCGCACAGTTTCAATGCATTATCAACCCATCCATCAACTGATCCACAGTGTAACATAATCCACTGAGTCCCTTTATTAGGGGGCAATGAGATTGGTTGACATTTCCTAGATCCATCAGTCCATCCTTTTTTTACGGTGTCATAAGTATCATAACAAGTTTCATTTAGATAATGAATTGGTCTATTTTCCCTTCTGAGTTCTTTTATCTCTTCTAGATATTATCCACCATGCGTTTATTAATAGTTTGGTATTTAAATCCAATTTTTCTCAGCCAAGTTCCTAAAGTTCTTTTGGTATATTTTAGATGATAATCTATTTCTTATAATTTTCCGTCTACCACGTCAACAGTTTGGATTTCATTTTTCTGGTGCGCGTCGTAAACTAAAGTTTCTTAAAAGTTTTGCTAACGACGAGTCCAAAGTTTTCGATTGACCGGCGTCGGATCTTTGTTTTCTTGAGAGGGCACCTTCTTTCACCAGTTTGTGTATTGTGGGATGGTGAACATTAGTCAGAGATGCTGTTTCACCTAGTACATCCAAATCATACAAATTAGAGTCATTAACTTGTCGCTTCAAAAGATTATTGTAAACATTAAGGCAAATTTGTTTCTCCTGCTCGTTCAAATGTAACCGATTTTTTCTTACGGAAAACACTAATGAACTTAGCTTTTCTTTATTACCGTAATCACTATCACTTTCATGTTCACAAACACAATAAGATGCAGACGTAGAGGCCTCCCACGGTCGAAACATTTTTACATCAAATACCTTCTTAAATTATTTTCAAAAACACAGCAGCAAATAAAAAGATATGAAATAATTATTACTTATATTACACAACTCACCTCAACACGATAACCTTCTTCTTAAAATATTTTCAAAAACACGCCAGCAAATAAAGATATTAAATAATTATTATTTATTTTATAATATTAAACTTACAATAAATCAGCACTGCTAAAATGATTCGGTAATAAAATTAAGTGCGGCTCTGAAGTATCACAGAATGTAAGTGAAACTCCACCTCGGTCGCATGCCAGCAAAGACAACATTCATCGTTCTCTCTTTAATGTAGGCGGTGAAAAATATGTCACAATATAGGTTTCACTGACTATACGTAATCATTTTAGAGTTTAAAATTTGCTTCATGAAATATTAAATTAAAAAATAATATACTGGGTGAACACGACACTAGTTTAGATTAGATCGCGATTGCGTCGTTGAGGTCCTAGTTGCCTACCTTATGGTGGTTGCCTTCTGCTTCTTTTAAGGGATCTGTGCTGAGTGGGGAAAGTGCCGCGAGCGTAACACTCTGTATTGACTTTTTTTTGTATTAAGTAAGTGTTAAGTAGCCTAAGGCGCTACTGTGTCTCAGCTTGCTCTAATTTGTTGTTTTATTACAAATGCAACCAGTGTAGCAATAGTTGGGAACTAAAAAGATCTTTTGTGACAACCATTATGTGTACTAGGGTTTGTCAGCTTTTAAAAATCGAGATTAAAACCGTTTTTTTAAACATTCGTAAAATTCGAAAACAGTTTTTTGAATTAAAAAAAACCAGTTTCAAATACAGGAATTAATATATATTTTTTTAATTAATTAAACACCAACGGTAATACAACCCTTTGTGTCCCTGAAAGTACCTTAAGGTACCTTATGCAGGAGAGGGCTACACATTAAAAGACAAAGTACACACACTCAATGTCTGAATATGTTAGCATTAATTTCTGGTTTAGAAAAAATCCTAGTTCCTCCACCAGGGATTGAGCCCGGGACTCCAGGGTGAGAGGCAAGTGTCTTTACCAGTCGACGACGAAACCACATAATATGTAAAAATTAATTATTTAATTAAAAACGTTAATATTTTGACTTGCAATCGCCTCTTGGACAAGCATATTGTAGTAAAATTTACTGTAAAATTAATCTTCATGAGGCGAATGTTTAATATGAAATTCCGCAAAAATTATTCTATTATATTTAAAGCTCGGACACAGATATCGGTTTCCAGTGACGGCTTTTATGCAGACATAATATTATATTGTAAACACCTATTGAAACATCCCCAAACAACAAAAAAAAAACCAAAAATTTATACAACCTGATAAAGTCAGTTATATTTCAATTTAAAATGTTAATCCGTAAACTAGTTGTCGTTTTATAACAAAAACAAAAAAGTTTAAATTTTTATGCTAGTCAAATTTGGGGGTGACGTCACACTATATTTTCATTATAACTCGTGAATAAATATTAAATGAACTGAAAAATTGTACGGATTTTAGTTATTTTAGTTTTTTTATTTATTTGGTTTTGTATAGAGTACGTTTTAAAATGTTTGAAAGGTTTTCTTAACCGCCTCTCAAGTCAGCGAAGTAACCCCCAGAGAATCTTTGGATTTTGTGTTGGGTAAAGAGAGACGAGACCCTACAGTTTATTGTGGAGTCCGAGGCACATCTAGGGCATCGACAATTCCCCCTCTCCCATCTTAATTCGAAACAAATTACAAATAAAATTTCTAACTTGCTTCAGGATGGAATCGAACCGTCGACCTTCGGTACCCAGTAGGTAGCTAAAGCGCTTTACCCACTCGGCTACTATACCCCTTTTATTTCGTTATATTTTTGTAGTTCCATAAATATTAAATAAACTAAAACTTTTAAATATAAGCATAAATATTTTTTTTTTTTGTAAAAATTCAAAAACTGTTTTTTTTGAAATACTGGAATTCGAAACCGGGTTTTTCAAAAGTCGGTTTTTGTATAAACCCTAATGTGCACCATCAATGTCTAGGTTTCTAAAGAGGCCTAAAACTTTCCTGAGGACTGAGGTACCCACTTCGGAAGATGTTGCGGATACCTTCTCAAAATTCGTAGCCTTTGGAGTATTAGGATTTTGCATGAGCAAAGGACAACTAGTCAAAATTCACGTGGCGCGTGAACGTTAAATATGCGCACTAGATAAGGTGGCTAAGTAGTGGGGAATCTCATTCTCGAACAAATTTTAATTGAGCGCAATGTTGCCATCTTGAGGAGTATTTCCCGATTTGAGTAATTTTTGAGGCCCACAAGGAACAAAGAGATATTTACATAATTTTGAGGATTTTTAAAAATTTTCCATTAAATCAATTCAATAATATTTCTCTTGTTATTGATCACTGCTTTTATTTTATTTCATTGCACCCATCATCTTGTGGTCATAAAGAGAATCAAACAATATTGCGCCAGTTTATTCGGACACCATTTAGGATATGTTCTTCCATGGAAAATTGACGTGGCTTGAGGCTATAAATAGGCCTTGGGCGATTTTTACTTCATTTAGTATGCTGCTCTAGATTAGAATGTGTATTTTTGTTTGTGTAATTTGTGCCGTATTTAACAAAGATTATAATGGAATATAATGAAATTTGCTTTTTCTATTTTGAGTTTTCATTGTCCATTAATATATTTTTTTGTTAAGCGTTCAGTTTTATAAGTTTGTATATTTTTTATTTTTCACTGTCTAATTCTTATTTAGCATTATAATATTTTTCTACCTAATTTAAACTAATGGAACATAATTAAAACTTGGCGGGATTTTTAAAGAAAATATGGGATATTTTATGCCTGCACATGGGACGGTGGCAACACTGCTTAGGCGAGAACACTGCCCTTTTTTTTCAGACGGTATCTCAGTGGGTAATGACCTGTTAGTATCCTTAATTCCGGTTTGCTGATTTCGAATAGCTCTCTAGCTCTTTTTGCGAGTGGAGTAGAAACTTCTCCGCATTATGCTCCTTTTTCCATTTTCTGACCTCATCTTTTGTGTGGCTTTTAGATATTCCGCAAAATGGTACTGGTTCGATGAATGATGATCCTGTAACTTCCCTCACAGCAGTCGCATTCCCTTCTATTCCTTTATGCCCTAGCAACCACATCAAGGTAGCCTTATGTTCCTTGTTAGTTGCTTTACTGTTTATAGACATTCTCAGAGTATGTTAGACTTACAAGTAAAGGAATTTGAAGCTTTAAGCACTGCCTGACTATCTGAGAGGATTCTTGCTCCTTATGTGTCTTTTTTAATGCATTGTCGAGCGCAGATTTCTATAGCATGAATTTCCGCCTGACAGACGGTGGTAGTTTGGCTTTTGATAGCTTACGTCTGGGCTCATATTATACTCCTAACCTTACTTGTTTCTTCATCTTTGATACATCTATATACCAAATAAGGGACCCGTTTTCAAATTTGGGTCCTCCATAACTCCATATTTGGCTATAAGTTATTATTAATTCAAATATCCGCTCAAATTTTAGCCGCACTGGCATTGTGTCAGTAGGTTTGGTCATTGAGACTAACTGATATATCACGACACTATGTACACCTCCCAAGTATTACCTATATTTTCTAAGATAAAAATTTAGAGATATACGTATAGGCTGTATAGGGTAATAATTTTAATCGACTTTCTGAATTTTAATTAAAAAAATAATTAAAAAAAGAATTAAAAAAAATGCAATTAAATACCTTTTAAAAACCCTTCATTTTCAAAATGGTAGATCGTTTATATTTACAGTATTTTAAAAATCTGTCTTGGATTGTAATGAAATCAAAAATATTAATTTAAAAACACAATAAGGTATCTATATAACATTATATAATTATTAATATTTTTGAACATATTTTTAAAGGTATTCAAATACTTTTCTCACATTGACTAATCACAATATTACAAAAGAACGATACAAGTCATTAAGTCATTAGTGTCACTCATGTCATATAATAATTACTCGCATATTATTAAAAGTTACGTTCAATAACGCCGAAGGGAATTCTTCAGTTGATTGGTTGGTAATTACATATTTTACATGTTATTGTCCATTCCAAGCACAATGAATTTCTATTTAATAATCATACCCTGTTGGTCATGCTTAAATACATTGCAATTCATTTCGAATTATACTTGAATAGTTGTCTGTGATAAACACTCACACGGAGAATCATTATATAATTTGTTTCAGGTACTTTAAATTCATGAGAACTAGCAACTTTATATTTTGGTCGTCATATACGTTATGCTGGGAACAGAAGTTCATGCAAAACGGTAGATTATAGTGCTGGAGTCAGTCCAATATGAAAATCAAATCAAATTAAATTTATTGAGTAGGTATAAATCAATACATTTAGTTTGCTTACAATTTACAAATAATTACCTTTTAGAATTAAATAATTACAAAACACTGTTTTTTTCTTGTCTAATTTTCACTTTTATTTTTATTTTAAACTTTACTAGTTTCATCTTATTGGGACATTTTCAAGTAACTTAATATACAGACTTATCTGCTGTTCATTTTATACCTAAAGAATAAATTTATGGTTGGTCATCTGTGCACAGATGATGTCTTAAAAGCATAGAGGGTGAGGTAGTAAAATTTATATTTTGGGTTGAATTTTTATCTGAACAGGAATAAGTTTACTGAACTAAATTTAATAACGGAGAATTATTTATATCTATCGCGGCGAAACTTTCAGCGAAACCGGAAGTGAAAAAAAATCACTTGTATGTCAAAAAGTGTTAAGCAATTCACCTAAGTTATATAAATGATTTGCTTTGTGAAGTTACGCATTAGTATTAATACTGTATAGATTGTAGAAATCTAAATATAATAATTATTAAGTATGTAATAATAAATATTTATTGAATAGAAAAATACAATATCTTATTAGAGATTAATGAGGAGCACAAAAATTCAATAATTAAATGATATTTATAAATGAAGAAGAGGAAAATTCAATAATTAAACGATACTTATTATTATTTATTTTAGCTTGCTTTTAATTTCATAGTCATGCTTATCTACATCCGTCTGTGATTTGTGCATTCATAGCATACTCCGGTATGTACATAACTTTCTTGCACTGAATATATTTAGCTCAACATAAAGAATGTCTGAGGAGTGACGATATTCTTTTTATCGGTAAATTTTTTTAATATTGCATCACTTGCAAGCTTTTTATTTTGATTTCTCTTCATACAAGCCACCCCGTGTTGTAATACAGTACCGTAATCTAGACTCAGCTAAAGCATCGTACACTATATAGAGGCTATTTATCAATAATATTCCACAATTGGTAGAATTTGCGTGGTAGTAGGATTTGCTGGTTTTTAAAAACCGGTTATTTGGACAAATTTGTAAAATTCGAAAACTGGTTTTAGGCTTAAAAAACCGATTTTTGCTGCCAGAATAAATATGTAAAAATTAATTTAAAAACGCTAACATTTTGACTTGAATTTGCTTCGGGCACAAGCATATTGTAGTAAAAGTTTACTGTCAAACCAATCTTCATGAGTCAGGCGAATGTTTGACATGAAAATCCACAAACTTATTCTATTATGCTTAGAGCTCGTATTGAGGTCTGGGTTCCCGGTGACCGCTTTTATGTAGACATAATATCATATTGTAAACAACTATTGAAACGTTCCCAAACAACAGAAAAACAGAACCTGATCAACCTGATAAAGTGAGTTTTGTTTCATTTTAAAATGTATGTTTTCTTAAATTCTTTTGTTCCATAAATATTAAATTCGAAAACCGGCTTTTATGGAATACTGGAATTCGACCATTGGTTTTTTTCAAAAGTCAAGTTTTGTATAAATAACATGTTCACTCTAACTTAGGTGCTCATCGATCATCACTCTCAGATACTTTAAATACGGGGTGATTCAGAAATAAATCGAAGCAAAAACCCCTGCAACTTTCCCAAAATATAAAAAGTCGGTACGCTAGATTTCGTGAAAAAAAATCTTAAAATTTAAAGGTTATAAACCATACCCACCTATGGCTTATTAAAATAATTTTATATGTTATAATTAAAGATCAGGAGGCAGCCATAAATTTCAGGGACGACTTTTACGTAGATATAATATACTGTAAACATCTAATGAAACCTTACCAAGCAGATAACCGATTAGCGATTGTTTTCGTATGCTCTGTCTCCTACTGAATTTTTTAAAACTTTTTTTTTCGTTTAAAAGGGCTTGAGACTTTTGTACATTGTCGTGGGCTGCCAAAGTCGAATTGGGGCATGGGGATGTTTTTCCATTTATTTTTTCGATATCCACATCTCTTCCCGAGTTATGAGGACTTTTTGGTTTTGTCTCAGTTTATGCTTTACCAGGGTGTCCCACGACGAACTGCGGCGATCAATATCTCGAAAAGTAGACATTGGAAAATTTTCAAAATTTGGTAGTAAACTTAAGTCGACGGGAGCAACTCGGCTAAAATATTTTCAAGATGGTGGCACTTCCGGTTATACCGGAAGTAGATGGCAACTTGCTTATTTTAAATGGGACACCCTATATATTATCACATTTTTGGATTGTATGCAAAATTCTAGGCCGATTTTGTGTATCATGTCCTAAGTTTCTCCGTTTTTGACATATTTCAATTCTTATGTCAAAAATGACGTTTGCAGGCACTAAAAGAATTGTCAATTTCTCCTATAAGGAAGCCTTTATTATTTAATTTGGGTTAGATTCTTTGTTGGAAAAGACCTACTTTAATTGAGTTTTTATAATATTTTGATAAGTATTAATAGAGAGTGTTCAAAAAATAAGAATGAAAATC